CTTCATCACACTTACTCTAAAACTGTCTTGTTTTGCTGGCTTGTTTACTTGTTTACTGTCTGTCTCCTCACTAGAACATAAAGTTCTCAAGGGCAGCCACCTCTGCCTTGTTCACAGCTGTCCCCTTGGGGCCATGAATGGGTGTCTGGCATACACAAGGTACTCAATAAGTGCTAGTTGAATGAGTAAACGACTATGATTATTCCAGTCACTCCACTAAGGGAAGCTCTAAAGGGGCAGGGGCGGGGAGCATGGACAGAGGTGACCTGTCTCTAGCGTGGGCTCTTCTATTCAGCCCCATCCCCCCGAGGTTGGCCCTGCCACATGGTGCCCAGGAAATCCCGGCGGTTGGGGCAGAACAGCACAGAACAGAGAACCATCAACAGGGAGAAAAGATACCTGCATGTGGATCGTGTGTTATAGCCCATGCTACGTCATGCTAAAAATCCAGGCTAGATGAGCAATAGCAGATGCTAAAAACCCAGGAGTCATGGAGTGACCGGCACAACTCAGCTCACTCCTGGCCTCCAGGGGCCTGTGGGCATACTGACGACACACCTCCAGGTGGGTGGTCTGGCTGGCCTGGCACCCACTGCCCCTTCTTCAAGAGGACCCACCTCTTCCTCCTGGGGACTTGCCCTCCCCCACTCTCAGGTCACGGGGTCCAGATGGGGCTGACCCCACCTTCTCAGGCGTCGGGGGCACCAACTCAAACCTGGCCAGTGGGCGTGTTTTATCTCCCTGGGCAGGGTGGCCGCAAGTCTAGAAGCTGGCACCCATTTTGCCTGCCCCAGAATGAAAAGGCAGACAGATCCCTGGGGCCAGGTTTTGATGTTCCAGGCTGGGCCTTTTCAGTGATCTCAGCCAAATATTCCTTTCTCTTTTTCAGCCACCTAGAGTGGCTTTGGGCCGACACTCCCTCCAGCTCATCCTTTACTGTCTTCCACCGCTGGCTCCCCCGCCCCCGCAACTCCCTGAGCCCGCCATGCTCTCTCACTTCGCATTCACCTTTCCCATGCCTGGAACCCCTTTCTCCAGCTCGTCCACCTGGTAAACTCCTACTTGTCCCTCCTTGTTCAGATATCCCCTCCTCCCGGGAGCCTTCCCTGACTCCCTGAGACACAGGTCCCCTTTCTTTTCCCACACACACACACTCCCACCAAATCAAGTAGGTTTCCCTGGGAAACCTTTATTCGCTAGGTCTTACCAGCCGAAAAGATTTTGTCAAGCTTTATTTGCTGCGGTTATATTACGAAATAGGGATTCTTTTTCGCTCTCCAAATACAAAAGGATGTTTTAACAGTTAATGTAAATTTTCAATCAATGCCTACCTCTACCCTAGACAGTCTGAATTACTCCCCTGGAGAGATGTCTTCCCTACCCTTGATTGAAAAGCTGCAGCAAAACATCCCTCATTGATTCAGTAAACATCCATGCAGCCCCCTCGGTGGAAGGCATGGTGCTGAGCGCGGGACACACAAATTATAAAATTGTGTTAAAATCGTCCCTTTATCTGTACAAGATAGAAAATGCAGGGAAGGTTCCTGCCAAACTGTTTAACCGACATTACCTTGGAAGCTGGCGTTAAAGGGACGGACGAGGGACTTTCCCTTCATACTTTATGTAACTTTAAAGCGATAGGGTTTATGGGGGCTTTTAGCTTTCTTAGTATTTTTCAAGTAAGACATTTCTCAGTGGTTTGTTGTTGTGTCTGTTTCCCTACAAGACTGGGAGCCCCTTGGGGGCAACGCTAGGTCTGAGTCACTCCTAAGTCCTCATCTTCCTGCCAGGGCCTGACACTCAGGGGGCCGGGAGATGTCTGTGAAATGATAGCAGGACAGAGCCGAAAAGGCACAGGAAGTGGACTCAGCCGCACCAGACACAGGCTGAGGAGAGGGGTCAAGCCCAGGGCCGGGGACAGCTGTGCCTGTGGTGGGCAGCTAGGGTGGCAGGAACATGGTCCCCACTGCAGCCCGGACCTAGCATGGTGCCCGACATATAGACGGACGGGACAAACATTTGTCTATTGGGGAAATGAGGTCACGGGGTGACAGAACTCCCACAAACAAACTTGGTCAGCTTTGCATTTGCAGCGAACAGGCAGGGGAAGATCAGAGCTGAGGGAAGCTGGGGCGGGAGGAGCAAGAGGAAAGGGCGTGGCAGGGAGGGGTTGGAGGAGACCTGGAGAATCAGAGCCTGGGCGGATAGCAGGTGGCAGAGGGTTGGCCTGCTGCTGCTGGGGCCTGTGGGGGCCTGGGGGAGGTGGCTCTAGGAGTGTACGAAGAGAAGGAGAGTCTGCCGCTCACGAGGGATGATGGCCTGGCTGGATCTACACTAGGCTGTCCTGTCCCTCCTCTCTCCCTCTAGTCTTTGTCCCTTCAACAGATATTTCCATGGGCATATTTGGATAGAGCCCTGGGTGATCGGGGCTCTGGCAAAAGGAGAGGCCTGGGCTGGGGGCCCCCAGAGGAAGCAGGAGGCAGGAAATCAAACCAGCTGGAGGGAGGGAAATCACTGAAGACTTCCTGGAGGTGTGAACTCCCAAGCTGGGGCTTAAAGGATGAAGAGGAGCTAACCAGGTAAAGGGAGGGAGCTGACTTCCAGGGAGGAAGGAGAACAAGAGCAGGGGCACCTAGCGAGGAGCCCTGAGCCTTGGTGTTGCTCAATGAGGAGCCGTGTGTGCTGTAAGGCAAACGGAACACCTGCTGGGGTCTCTGGCAGCCATGGTGGGAGGGAAACACGTCCAGAGAAGGAGAGCTAAAGGCTGCAGCCGGGATTGTGTGGTTAGAGCCCTGGATTCCCAGGCCGATTCTGCCACTTGTGCTCACAGTGTGACCTGGGGCAGGCAAGTCACTTTGCCCCTGGGAGCATTGGCCGTGGTGAGGATTTGTGAGTTCAAGAGGGTCACTGTTAGCACAGCGCCTGGTACAAAGGCAGCACCAACAGGCTCTAGTTACTGTTGCTGGGACGAGCCAGGCATTGGGAGCCTACATTGGAAGAGCTGTCACCGAGCAGCAGGCATAGGTTGTTCTGTGTGTTTCTACAGAACCAGGCCCAGCAGCAGGAAGCTCTAAGGAGGCAGATTCCAGCTCAGCATTAAGGACTGTCCCAAATGGGAGTGCTGGTCAGTAGTGGAACGGGTTCCCTGGAGGCTGAACTCTGTCAGGGGAAGAGCCACTGTGTCAGGGACACAGCTCTCTTGTGTAGACAGCGCCTGGCCCAGGGGTTCCGTGGAAGGAGGTGGGGAGAGAGAGAAAGAAGCGATCCGAGGAACAGTCATTGTGGGAAACACAGGGCTACGGGAAGTTAAACAGGTTTCTGTAGGACTTCTCAGGACCCTCACTGCCCTGGAGCACGGGCCACAGACTCAAATGCTTACAGAAACCAGGCAGACAGCACAAACGGGTGTCGTGGGCAGGTGTGGACGGGGTGGGCTGGAGAGAGCAGGCCTGGGAAGCCTGCCCAGCTCCTCCCTGCTCCTGCTGGTTATCCTTATGGGAAACCTGTTGGCCACTGTCATGGGTTGAGTTGTAGTCCCCAAAACAATATGTTGGAAGTCCTAACCCCTGGTGCCTGTAAATATGACCTTATTTGGAAATAGGGTCTTTGCAGATATAATCAAGTTAAAATGAGGTTATTAGGGTGGGTCCTAATCCAATGACTGGTGCCCTTATAAGAAGGGGAAATTTGGACACAGAGACAGACACGTGGAGAGAAGATGGCCAGATGATGATGGAGGCAGAGATTGGAGCGATTCATCTACAAGCCACGGAATGCCAAGGATTTCTGGCACCACGAGAAGCTGGAAGAGGCAGAGGGATTCTCCCCTAGAGCCTTCAGAGAGAGCGCAGCTCTGCCGATACCTTGATTTTGGACTTCTGGTCTGAGACAATACATTTCTGTTGTTTTAAGCCACTCAATTTGTGGTACTTTGTTCTGCCTTCTCTAGGAAAGTAATACAGCCACTAACTCATGATTCAATGTATACTGGAAGTCTCCAGAAAGGAGAGAGAGGATGCAGCACTTCCTAACTCAGAGATCACAGGCCTCTCTTCTGAAAGAACATCTCGATGAATGGGCGCAGGATGCGATGTGGGATACTTATGCTGATTCTCAGCCTTTCGTTTTGCACCCACACAGGTATCATTCATGGAGGTGACTCCCGGTTTCCTCAGCTGCAAACTGAGGATAACGCGCCAACCTCCCAGATGGCTATGGCTGTGAACCCTCAGCGAGATGCATAGAAAGTGCTTAGCCGGGCACTCCATCATGTGGAGGATGTCCCCCTTCTGAGCCTCGCTTTACCCCGCTGAAAGATGGGCGGCAGCATCTCCCAAGCCTTCCTAGGGTTGCTGGGAACTGCCTGGCACATGGCTGGTGATCAGAACGGTCCATGTGGACCAGTCAGCCCCCTGCACACTCCCGGTTTCTGTGGTCCTCTGCTGGAGGGAGCGTGCTCCTCGGGCTGCCCTTACCTGTGCTGTGAGCTGGATGGGCTGGGACAGGGTGAGCTGTGGGGTCCCAGGGGGCTGGCTGGCAGGCTGTGGTGGTGGCAGGTCACCTCCCCCAGAGGAGGCTGGGGGCTGCGAGGTCGAGGAGGAGGCAGAGGAAGAGGAGGAGGAAGAGGAGGAGGAGGTGGAGGAGGCGGCAGCGGCAGCGGCGGCGGCAGTGGACTGCTGCACGGCGGCGGCCAGGAGCTGGGCCTGCGCTTGCTGCAGGAGGAGCTGCTGCTGAGCTGGCATCAGCGCCGTGAGCTGTGGGGCGGGCAGAGGCAGCAGGGGCCGGAGGAAGGGCATGGGGAGGAGCAGAGAAGGCAGAGAGGGGTTAGTGCCTGAGCCAAGCGGGTTAGGGGGCAAGTCTTCCAGGAGGACAGAAGAGGGCAAGAGGTAGTTGTGAGAAAGTGGCCGTGGCCCTGGCGGGACACCCCATGCCACCAGTCCTGTAATAGATGGGAGGCGGCTGGCCGGCGTCCTCCATCCCCGTCCTTCCCCGGTACTTACCCCGGCTAGCTGGCTGCCCGTCAACATGAGTTGGGCCTGGGGCAGATGTGGCTGAGCCGGCTGGGGGGGCGGGGGTGCTGCTGGGGCTGAGTCGCCACTGGGGTCTTCAGCCTTGATCTGGGGGGGAGAGAGGCAGGGTCCGGGACCCCAGAATGTTAAGTGGAGGCCAGAGAGAATGCCCACCTGTGAACCAAAGAGAGGGCACGTGTGTGGCAACAGCAACCTCGGGCTGGCACAGGAGGAGAGGACTGGGATAAAGACACCAGACCCAGCGCTGGCCGGCCTGGGGCCTCAGGCCACCCCTCTGGCCTCAGTTTCCTCATCAGTTGGATAGGGCTAACACATCCCCTGCACCCAAACTCCCTACAGAGGAGGATCACCTTTGGAGGGCACTTTTCTCCTCTTGGATGTCAGTTTCCCCACCTGTAAAATGGGAAATGATGCCGGTGGGGGCCCCGGGACACCAAATAAGGGAGTTCTGGGTCCCACACCCCTCAGCTGCCTCAGCCAGAGGTGCCCAATGAAGTAAGACTGTATTAGAGGGGCCGGCCCGGTGGTGTAGCCGTTAAGTGCGCACGCTCCACTGCAGAGGCCCGGGGTTCGCCGGTTTGGATCCCGGGCGTGCACCAACGCACCACTTGTCAAGCCATGCTGTGGTGGCGTCCCATATGAAGTAGAGGAAGATGGGCATGGATGTTAGCCCAGGGCCAGTCTTCCTCAGCAAAAAGAGGAGGATTGGCATGGATGTTAGCTCAGGGCTGATCTTCCTCACAAAAAAAAAAAAAGAAAAGAAAAAGACTGTATTGGAGAAAGGGTCTTGGGGTATTAAAAATAATCACCACCTTGGAACACAGCTCATGAACTCAAGTGCACATGAAAACAGGCAGACAGGTGAACGCGGTGACGTGGGCAAATGTGGATGGGGCGAGAAAGCCTGCCCACTTGAAGGGAGGCCTGTGCAGCTCCTGTTCTGCTCCTTCTGGCCACTCATTTCAAAATCTAAAGCAAAAACACCAGCAGGACCCCCAAAGCACTTCTGAGGGCCAGATGTGGCCCAGGGTTGCCGGCTCTCAGCCTCCACCCCGGGAGTCTGCCGAGCCCCGCCTCCTCTCTCTGTGCAGGATGCCGGTGCATCTCGCATCCAACACATAGGATAGACCAGCATAGAGCAGTCCTGGCCTCCTTCCTCTCCCAGATAACAAGCCAGACGGGTCTGTTGGTAAAGGACACGTGGGGGTGGGAGGAGGCATGGCTTGATGGATCACACACTCTCAGGCCCGGGGGGGACATTAGAGATCATCCTTCAGCCCAATGTCCCAGCACCATTTCACAAAAGGAGGTCCAGAGAGGGAAAGCAATTCACGAAAGGTGACACAGCGGCTTGGCAGGGGCGTGGCATTTGTAATGCAGACTGAGATGAATGGACAGAGGCCTGGGAAACAAATAACAGAGTGAGTGGTGTGCCCCAAAGTATGGGATATGAATGTCAGAAAGTTTAAGGGGTACAGAGACGAGCATGAAACAACAGTGGTAGAAGCCAGAGCAGTGGCTGTCCCTGGCCGGGAATTAAGGGCCTTCTGGAAGTCTGATCGTGTTCTGTTTCTTGATCTGGTGCTGGCGGCATAGGTGTTCAGTTTGTGAAAATCCACAGAGCCGTACACGGAGGATCTACGTGTGTGTCACATTTTAATTAAAAGTTAAAAAAAACAAACATTGCGGGCCGTGGTGAGAACACTATTCCTCTTCTAGGCTCCTTCATTCTTTTTGATTCTCTTAAGAAAGTCTCCGTTAGGTGCTAGGATGCCCCCAACACTGGCTAATCTCCCCTTTTAACAAACGGAGAACAGGCTTCAGGTTTAGATCCTTCAGCAGGCAAGAGTCTCTGGGTACATTTTAATAATCATTGTATTTATTTCCATGGCAAGTGATTCTGGTTTTCCATTCATGAAATTTCCATTTAAAAAACGTTTATTTCAGCTGTTGAAAAAGCGAGCCAGTTCATGAGCTGATGATTGTTGAAGCTGACTGATGGGTACCTGGGGGTTTACATTCATTGTACTGTTCTTTTTACTTTTGTATCTGCTTCACATTTTCCATAATAAAATGTTTTTAAAAATTGAGCCAATTAACAAAATTATGATGTAAACAATTGTACACAGCAGTGTGTGGATTTGTCGGAAACCGTGATGGGAGCACATGAATCACTGCACGGAGGGAAAGACTGACACAGAAGAGATGGAGTGAGATGGAGCGGAGAAGAGGATGCAGTATGGACGGAGACCCGGAGTCAGAGGCCGCCACCTTCTCTGCCTCGGGCTTTCCCAGGGCCCAGGCCAGGGAAGGGGAGTGAGAGCCTTTCCTTCCCTGGGCTCCATGGTTTCCCCACGGAGAAGCAGGGCTGCTGTGGGGCAGGAGAGGCTGCAGAGATTCGGCTGAGGAGGAGGCGGTAGGGGTGACGGACACATGCTCCGCTATGCAGGCTAAGGCCAGAGCAGAGCCTAAGATCAGAGGGAAGGAGGTCAGAGCCTGAGCCCTCCCCAACTTGGGCCCTGTCCAATGCACTCAGGACAAGACACCCTCCCACCGAGCAGCATCAGGGCACACCAGCCGCAGAAGGGACCTCAAAGGCCGTCCAATCTGACTGTCCCCCGCCATGTTAGAGAAGAGGAAACTGAGAAGCCCAGAGGGGGGAAGTGATTTTCCCACGGTCACAGAGTAGTTCCCGGCTCCCCATCCCATCCCATCCCTCTGCCACCTTTGCACGCTCAGGAGTCCTGCCCATGGCCCCTCTGCCCCTGCCCTGCAGGCTGCCTTCAGGCCACTGGACCTGCCAGCTGCCCCCAGCCAGGCTGGAGGGTGGAGACCTGGGCCCCAGACATCCCAGGAAGCCCAGCAGTGCCCAGCAGCAGGGCCTCATCTGGATTTGGGATTTGCTCTATCTGGCTGCTTCCGGCCTCCCCCTCATCCTCTACTACGATAACCCCACAGCCTACCTCAGTGGGTCTGCCTCCTCCAGCCCCCCAGGCCCCTGCCCCCTGCTGGCCCCTGAGTGTGTCTTGGGGGGCGGGGGGTGGGGCAGGCCCCTGTTCAGTCAGGGAAGTTGGGATGGGGGCGGGGCCCGGCTTCCTGTTGTTCATCGCCCTGGGGCTCTGGGGGGGATTTCCCTGGCCACCCCCACCCCCCAGGGAAGGGGAAGGAGCCTGGGTGAGTCACAGGCTTGGGGCGGGAGCCCAAGGGTGAGAAGGGGCGGGAGGAGGCTTGTCACCAAGGTACCAGGGCTCAGTGCCCCCTCAGACCCTGGAACCCCAGCAGGGGTGCAGGACCCTCTCCCAAAAGTCAAATGCCACCTATCACAGGACACCTCTCCCTCTTCCCCTGCCCTTGCTGTTCTGACAGGTGCTTACCTTGGTGCTGGGGCCAGTTGGGGACACGGAGAATGGGGAGGTCTTATTCTGGGGGTTCTGTGAAGAGAAAGTTGGGGTAGATGATGGGAACAGGGAGATGAAGCAGCTTCTGACACCCTGTCCCTCCCCTGCAGAGGCCCCCTCTGCTCCCTTCTCCCCATGCCCACCCCTCCTGCTCATCCACTCCCTTCTGACCTGATGGTTAGTGTCTGGTCCATTTCTTTCAGTGTCTGCAACAAGAGGGAAAGAGCGAGTTGTCACCCAAAGGCTGAGTTGTCATCAGCCACCGCAGCTCCCCCAACACACCTGCCCCCACCCACGGTGACCCTCTGTCCTCCCTGCTCCCTTCCCCACCCACCTGTGTGCTCTGACGGGGAGTCCAGACCTTGCTTCTCGGCCTCCAGGGGCTTAGACATTCTTATTTCTGGGGACAGAGGAGGGATGCAAGCAGGGTGAGGGAGTGGAAGCCAGGAGCGCTCTCAGGTCCCTCCTTCAGCACCACCCCAGCCTCTCCCCAAAGCCCCCCTCACCCCTGCCACCTTGCAGGTGTCTCTTTCCAGGAGAGATGCTCTCCATTCGAGGCCTCTGCCCTCCTCCGTCAGGACAAGAAAGTGGCCTTCAGGCCTTGGGGATCTTGCCTGATCCTTTCACCCCTCCAGAAGGTAGCACAGGGAATGTCAGCCCCCGTGAGGCGCTGAGGAAGGGCGGGGGGTAGAAGGCGGTCCTGAGAAGGTTTCCGCTGCCCAGGAGGAGGTTGGTGATGTTCCAAAGGAGAGAGTCAGCCTTGGGCCTCCTCCTCAGGCGTGCCGCCCAGGCGCCCGTCCTGCCTCACCAGGTTTCGGGTGAGGCATGTTTTCCACTCTGAGTGGGGCCTGGGGGGTGTGAAGGGACTGCAGCATCCCCAAAGGAGCGATTCTGCAGATCTCTGGGTGTGATTCAGCCGCCCTCTGGCCCCGGCCGCCGGCCCACCACTTTCCCGTCCACATCTCACTCCCACCTGGCCCCCCTTCTTGCATTCAGCGCACAGGCCTAGCAGCCCCATTCTGATCTCTGTAACTCCAGCTCCAACTCCATCCGCTCTGCCCCTGACCGTGTCCTCAAAGCTAATCCTAGACTTTATGGTTGAACCCCAACTGCACACCCAAATCCAACCTAGATACCCCGCCCCTACAAATGCAATCCCATTCTAGAGTTCCGTAGACGCAGGAAGTGAAAGGAGGTGGCCAAGAGGAGGTGGCAAGCTGGCAGCAGGGAGCACAAAGCAATGGCAACAAATGCCCTGTCCTCAAAGCTCTCTGATGCTGATAATGGAAAGGTGAGTGCCAAGCACAGCACTAAGTATAATTCAGAATTCACATGAGCAGTTGGTGCTAATATTACCCCCATTTTACAGAGGAGGAAACTGAGGCACCAAGGGAGGCATCACCCCCCCAAGAGGACAGTGAGACAGCAGAGGTGCCCTGATTGGATCCCCAGTCTTCGTAACTCCGGGGTTCCCGCTTCTGATCAGAACTGCTATGGTCTAACGGACCCCAGTGGTGACTTCCACCCACCTCATCTCCAACTGTCACCACAACCCAAGCTCACCCTGACACCCACTCGAACCCAGCCCTTCCTCGTCCTAGACCTCCACACAAATCTGAGCCTCTGCCTGACCTGTTCTCACTCGCCTTCCCCATCCTGAAACCCAGCTCCCGTCTAGATGATCCAAGACCTTTATCTGACCTTGACTCCCAACTCGGCCTCAGACCTTACTCATGACTCTGACTCTGACCCAAAAGTCTCCCCCACAACTCACTCCAAATCCCCACCTGCACCTTGACCCCATCCTATCAAAGGAGCTGTCCAGCTCTAGTGTGGTCTGTACCCAAGATACTTAAAGAAGGCCAGCTAAAGAGAGAGCTGGGACGCCCTCAGCAACTGAAAAGAACAGTCCAGGAATTTTGAAACTGAGGATTACTCAACATGAAATGCCGCTCAGGTTTAAAATTCCTGATTCTGGAGCCAGTGGGAGTGTAAATCGACACACTGCCAGTGGGAGTGTAAATTGACACGCAGTTAGGAAAGCCGAAGAGGTGCCCCCTCCCTATGACCAGCACGTCCACTCCTGGGCATCCACCCAAGAGACGGGAGCGTCCTGCCCACCAATGCCCTCGGACACCTATGTTCCCAGCAGCCTTTTTGCATTGGCCCAGAACTAGAAATAACTCAAGCCCCGTTAATGGAGAAAGGGTCAACAAAATGTGGTATGTCCCTATGATGAAATACTCTACAGCAAGGAAAAGAGCAGACTCCTGCGTCTCACACACACCACTGAATCTCGCAGACCTGACGCCAAGGCAAAGACGTCAGACTCAAAAGAGGACAGGCAGCAGGACTCCAATTACGCGAAGGTCAAAAACAGGCAGGATGGTACCAGGTGATCAAGGTCAGATTAGTGGGTATCTTTGGGAAAGGGCGTGAGGAAGCCTGCAGGGGGGTGGAAATGTTCTGTATCTTGATCTATTCAGTGAATACAGGGGTCTATACATACGTAAAAATTCATCAAGCTGTACACTTAAAATTTGAGTGCTTTACTATACGTACGTTATGTTTTCACACACACACAAAATATTTAAAAGCTAAAAAAATAAATAATAATAAGGCAGAACATAGTCCTATTAAGGCATAGGCTGGTGTGGTAGGGGTGGGGAGTAGGTGCCCAGGATGCTACAGGAGCTCAGGTCCTGTTTCCGGGCACTGAGGATGGGGCACCGAGTGTCTAATTATCCCGAGAGATGCAGGAGGACGCAAAGGGAGCCAGGGGATGAGGCCTCACTCCTGACTCTAACTCGCCCAGACCTTGGCCCTGCTCCAGGCAGCCGCTAACGCTTACTTGGCCCTAAATCCCACCCCTCCTAACATCCCTGCCTCCTCCTTTGCCCCTCTCTCCGGCCAGGGTCCACAGGGCCCCAGGGAGATCCCTTCCACGCCCAGCACCCCCTGGCCCTGAACCCTTCCTTGGCTTTCTACTTCCCTAAGAAAACACCAGGCTCCGAGGTCTGGCCTTCGGGGTGTGGCCCCTGCCACCCTCCACTGCCTGTCTCTTGCCACTCATGCATCCCGCTCTTCAACCACACCAGGCATCTCCCTCTGCTTGGGGGTTCTGCTTGATGGGGAGTCCAGACCTTACAGGTTCTATACACCCCGCCCAGCTGGTGCATGCCTCTCTTGCCTGTGGACCAGGGCAGCCTCTGACCTCACCTCCACCCCAGAGAGTCCGTGCTCATCCTTGACCTCTGTTATGGGCTGAGTTGTGTCCCCCAACATTCATATGTTGAAGTCCTAACCCCCAGTAACCTCAGCATGTGACTTTATTTGGAGATAGGGTCTTTGTTAAAATGAGGTCATTAAGGCGGGCCCTAATCAAATATGACAGGTCCCAATCTCCTATAAAAAGAGGAGATTGGGACCTGTGTCCCAGACACACACAGAGGGAAGACCATGTGAAGACACAGGGAGAAGTGGCCATCCCAAGCCAAGGAGAGAGGCCTCAGAAGAAACCAACCCTGCCGACACCTTGACCTTGGACATCTAGCTTCCAGAATTGCAAGAAAATTAATTTCTGCTGTTTAAGCCACCCAGTCTACAGACTGATAGCTCTAACAAACTAATACAGCCTCCCACAGTAGTGCCTTCCCACTGTCCTAGTCCTGAGTCTGCAGGGCAGTGCCTGTCTGTGTGCTGGTCCTTTCCCACAAGACCAGGGGCAGGCCTGGTCTGACTCATCGCTGTGTCCCTAGCATCACTCAGCCCAGAAGAAGAGGTTAGAAATGTTTGCTGAATGTCCCTGCAGCTCTGTCTCTTACTTGTTCCTCCCTCTGTCCTGCTGTCTCTCTGCCATTTAACAAATGTTTCCTGAGGCCTTGGCATGGGCTGGTCCCTCTGCCAGGAACACTGTTCCCCACTCTGTCTACCTGACGACTTCCTACTCATCCTTCAGGACCCAGCACAGGGTCAGTCCTCTATGAAGTCACCCCTAATCCCCTAGAGACCTCCACCTGGTCCCTCCACCTGGCTCCTTCTGGCCTGGCATCTCCCCTTGCCACTGTCCTAGAGGCTGTAGCCATCTGGGCCCCAGTACGTCTCGCCCATCAGACTAGGACCCACCCCCTCAAGGCCTGGTCTGACTCACCTTAGGGTCCCCAACACTGCCCAGCACAGGACGTGTGGGTTGAATGAACAAGAGTGGCCCCAAGGCCCTCATCTTCCTCCTCCAGGCCCTTGCCTCTGCTCTTCTCCCACCTCTGGGGACCATTTCCTTCTCTATTAGCAAACTCCTGCTCCTCTTTAAGGCCCCAGCTCACATGACACCTCCTCTGTGAGGTCCTCCCTGACTCCCCAGGTGTTTGGTGTCTCTCTTCTCTGGGGTCCCCCTGCCCCTGCCCCTCCCACACCTTGATCACCTGGGCAATGACTCCCCACCCCACACTGTGGGCTCCTTAGGGCCCAGGCTAGAGTCATCACTGCACAAGCTGGGACTGTGTCTTTGCAACGAATGAATGCATGAAAGGGTCCCTGACAGACCAGGACCCAAAACTGTCCCAAACAAGGCCCCCTCCCTGCTGTCACCTGACACTTGACCCTCAGCCCCAACCCCCAGGCAACTCCTTTAAAGTAAACCTTTAAGGTTTACCTTAAACCTTACCCCTAAACCTTTAAGGTAACCTGTCCTCTGCAGAGATAGTGGCTGGAGATGCAAGGGTGGTCTGAGGGGAAATTTCCACCACTGTTTCTCTTATTTTCCCTAATTCCGCCCCCCTTCCCCCTCACTCCCACACAGCCTGTGCACCCCGGCAGCAGTTGGCTGCCCTCCATCCAGGCCTCTCTTGCTCTGGTTTCTTCCTCCCCCATCAGAGCCCAATCCAAGAAAAGGGTCTCATCAAATCACTCCCACCAAGGATGAATAGGGGCCTCCATTTCCACCACAGACTCAAAGCCAAATGATGCCTCAACAGCAACTTGAGGGCATTGGCAACCCGTCAAAGGCCCGCTGAAGCCGCCCATCCTGCAGGCTCTCAGCCTCGGCCCAGGCAGGGCTGCCGCACTGCCCCCCTCTCCACCCTAGAGAAATACTGATGCCTACTCCCAGACACTCTGATTTCATCGGGACAGGGTGAGACCTGGGCATCTGGAATTTTAAAAGTGCCCCAAGTTTATTCTAATACGCTCCAGCCTCTGGGCGTCTTCAGAAGCCCCTCTCAAACCCATATCGCACAGAAAGGTTGGTTGGTGATTTACGGTCATGCCCTCCCTTCTCCCACCCCAGGCAATGTGTAACTTTTTAGTGGAATGGGCAGGGAAAAGCAATGCAGAACTCTACCAGGCCCCTTGAATCTCACCATCCTTGAGTCAGACCCACCCATGGCTGCCCACGTCCCTAGACTCACACCCGCTTGCCCGACTGCCCCAGGCCTGGGACTCTGGGTCCCCTCCGCCCTTCCCACCCCTCCCTCGCCCCTCCCTCCCCGGACTTTCACTTCTCCTCTGCATTTCCCCCAGCCGGTTTTAGCAGACTTGGGCCAGCTTCTCGTTAGCACTTACCGAAAATGGGGCTAAATATAGAGGGCCCAAGGGCTGCCCCTCACCCCTCCTGGCCCCGCTTGGCCTGTCCCCTGGGTCCCCTGCCTCCACAGCCTGCTTCAATCAAGGCTGTGGCCTGGGAGCCCCTGTGGGCAGGGTCTGCGCTGCCGGGAACCTCTGTGGGCCCAGCTGGCCCAGCCCTGGCCTTCTTAGGAGCAGCACCTCACACTCCACAGCCCCACAGCTGTCCCTGGGTGGCCTCAAGGGAGTGAACACTTCTGAGCTGTCAGGAGGGAGGGATGGAAATACGGGCAGCAGACACAACAAGAGAGGTGGCCCCACAGCTGTGCTGACAACAGGCAGGGGCTGCCACACAGCACACACACCACAGCCAGGCAGGGCCCCAGACATGGACAGAGACCATGCAAACACACACAGGGACAGGTGTGCTCAGATCCCAGACAGGAATGTTTGCCCATGAAGACACATGCCCAGACACAATGACATGGGCAGATATGCAAAACACATGTTCAGACATGCGTGTGCACACCTGCACTTACACTCACACACCAAGTCACACCCAGACATGCACACACACCCCAGAGTCACTCACAGACAGACATACAGATACAGATGTGCATACACACACACCCAGAGTCACTCAGAGACAGACACAGATAGACACAGATATGCAAACACCCCCCCCCAAGTCATTCAGATAGACACACACACACAGACGTGCACACACTCACACACCCAGAGTCACCTCCTCCTGGGAGACGGCCAGGGCAGACCCCTGAACCCAGTTCACAGATGTGGAGCCTGAGACCAAGCAGGACAAGTGATCTGCCCAAGGCCACACAATATATTAATTCACGTCCAGGCAGCAGCACCCAGGGCAGGCCTCCCGGGCAGGGCAGTTCTGTGAAAATGCCAAGTAAGGGGTCTAACCTGGTGCCCAGCATGTATGAGGCCCCCATTCAACCCCAGACAGGGACGAGTCAGTGGTGGAGCAGACGGCATGCGTGTGCAGATGCCCTGGATCTCTGTGTCCACTGTATGTACACACACACATATACATAGTTGCACACACGGTCACCTCCATAAATAATCATATGTCATCCTGCAAGTAGTCTTCCAGTTCAACTCACCTCCTTTATCTTGCTTATACCCACTCACCCTTCACATCTCAGCCCAGACATCTCCTCCTCCAGGAAGCCCTCCCTGACACTCCACCACTGAATTGGGCAAGTCTTCTGGGCTCCCACAGCCCCCCGTGCCTCCTGCATCCCAGCCCTGACTCCTCTGCCCGTGTGTCCTCCATTGTCTAATGACAGGTTTGTCTCCTGCACTGGACTGGGGACTCCAGGAGGACACATCTGAAGCTGCCTTTTCCAGTTGTATTTCCAACACCCAGCACAGAACTGCTCAATAAATAGGGTCACAGAGATGCTGCATACACTGAGACACACAAGGTGGCAAACGCCAAACCAAGACTCATCCCCACAGACACCCACGAATGTGACACATTCCCACAGTCATGCCTGTACGGCCGCAAATGAAACCATCACGAAGTATTGACGCTTGCCGAGTTCCAGGCACCGTGTTAAGCATTTACACATATTACTTCATTTAACTCTCCCATCAGCACTGCCGAGAGATGAGTATCACTATGCAGAGATAGACGCATTATACCAAATGAACCGACAAATACAAATTGCCTTGTACGGTGTCTGGCACACAACGTTCGCTCAGTCAACTGACATTTGGTGGGGGGAGGCAGTTCATAAGCACACAAACATATAATAAATTTTCAGGCAGTGATAAGTGCCATGAAGAACAGACAAAGCAGGGCCAGGGGACCAAGAACGGAGCACGGCGGGATTAGTTGCCAGTCTAGATGCGGTGGTCAGGGAGGGCCTCCCTGAGGAGGTGACATCTGAGGCGCATGAAGTGAGGAAGTGAACCAACTGATCATTGCCAAGGCTACCCCCACAATGCCATCCATAATGGCCCCTCACACACAGACACATGACAGTCACACCCAGAAGACTCAGAACCACCGCTCACATACATGTACACAGACACGCACACACTCAAAATGCAACAATGCGGCCTTTTAACCTCCTTGCGGCCCCCACCCAAGGAGCACTCATGCTGCCCACCCACTGGTCCTCCGTGTAAGAGCCTGCTACCAACCTCAGACTCCATCCTCCTCCCCCAAACCCCTCAGAACAGGGCAGCAGAGGCGGGGAGAAGAGGTTGGAAGCCCCCCAGGTGCGGATGTGGAAGGGGAGGGCAAAGAGGAGCTGGGAGGTGGGACCCAGGGTGGGAAGCCAGGAGCTGCTGAGGCAGAGTGAAAGGGCAGAGGAGACAGCTAAGGAGGAAAAGCAGGGAGGGTCAGCGATCGGCAAAGCAGGACAAACCCCAATGTGCTGCCGGTGCTGCGGCTCCGGCCCCTTACCTGGAGCCCCCATGCTGGAGTGAACCATGCTGCCCGCCCCGCAGGGCTGGGGGAACAACTGTGTCATCTCCCCGCCCTCTCTGGGGGCCAAGCCCTCTCTGCCGGAAGTCACCCAGGGAGGAAACCACAGGGTCCGCCCCCTTCGGAAGGGAAAATACCGTAGCCCAAAGGCCCACCCCAGCAGCCAGCGGACCCCAAATCATGTGTGTGTGTTGGGGAAGTGGGGGTAGCGGGGCACAGGGCAAGCAGGCTGGGAGAGCTGACTCCTACAGTTGCTCCTCCAGGAGGCAGCTGCAACAGCTACCCCAGCCTCCCGCCTCCACGGGGGCAAACACATCTGGAACGGGGCAAGTGGGTCTGGGAGGAGGTGGGCCCAGAACAGCTACACTAAAACACCGGCTAGAAGTTTTCGGGGGGGGGGGGCTTTCTCAGTGCCAGGCCCTGCATCTCGCACTTGACAGGCTTCATCTCTTGAGGCATCACATTTGCCCCATTTTACAGACGAAGAGACTGAGAACCAGAGAGGTGAGGTGGCCTTCTCAAGAGCCCAGAGCCAAGAGCGTTGAAGCCACGAAGCGCAGGAGGAAGAGGTGTTCGCGGTGGGTGTTCCGCTCGGCTGTGGGGAGGGGGACCCAGCCGCGCACCTGTCCGCAGGTGTGGCGTCCGGGACCACCACTGAGAGGAAGCGGTGCCCGTGGGCAGTGGCAGTGCGGACGGCGGGTCGGGGCCTTGGCCGGGAGCGGCAGGGAACAAACGCGGGCGCCCAAGGCGGCTCCGGCGGAGAGGACCACCGGGTCCCCTAGCTGCCCGGTGGCCCTTAGCGCTGCGGCGCTCCGGGCCCAGCGGTTCTCTCCGCGCCCGCCAGAGGGCGACAGCGCCCAGCCAATGGGCCGGAGGGCGGGGCCGGCTGCGTAGGAGGGAGCCCCTCCCTCTGCTCCCCTCCGCGCCTCCCCCCCCCGCCCCCGCCCACGCTCCCGCGCGCACACCTGCGAGGGTCACACAAAGGCGCAGGACTCCCGGCGCACGGCGGTGCAGACAAAGGCGCGGTTGAGCTCGCTACCCTCTTTCTCCTCCCGGCGCCCGGTCCGAGGCTGCCAGGCCGCCTGGCGCCTCCAAACAGCCCGTCTGCCGCCCCGGGCCCTGCAGGACTCGCTGCGCCCCATGCTGGGGGACCCCCAAACCACACGCGCGCACAAGGACGCCTGGACTCACCCACACACACACACACTCAAGTATTTCTACACCTGGACCCCAGCACTTCACACACACGTGTGCACACGCAGACACACGGAAACACTCCTCTGTGTGCACAGGCCCCAACACCAATCCTCCCTACCCTCCATTGGTCACTCCGGTACAGACACCCCCTCTGCTCCCTCACATGGACCCACGAGCACAAGAGCACATCTACACATGTGTGCCCAGACACGCCTCCTGGCCATGTGTGCCCATACTCACACCCATGCACTCCCACGCAGGATATAACACACAGGCAGACCTTCATGAGTGCCCTTCCGTCTGCACACAGGCCCTGTGCACCCAGACACGCCCAGGCAGGCAGGCCCACTGGACGATGGGAATGACCAGCGGTCCTTACATCTGCACACAGAGGGGGCAGTTCCCAGCTCTCTACACTCCACAACATCCCGTATTGTGAAGGCTGAATTTCACTGAGGAGATCCAGAGACCACACAGCATCAACCAGGCTCCAACTCAGACCTCCGGCCTCCTGTGCACGCACACCTTTCTCTCGCTCTCGCACTCTCTCAGATGCAGCATTTCTATACGTAAGGGTCTTCCGGACAGCAGTCTGGTGGCAGGTGGCTGCTAGATCCTTGTCTTGAAGCTGCATTTGCCCAGAAAGTTCTGTTTTGATTTAGGATTTATGTTTTGGGGGCTTGGAAATGAGGGTCATTAGGACATTATGGGGGATCGAAACCCCACCAAGCCAACCCCATGCTCCACCCCAGACAAAGTCAACGTCTTCCACGTCAGGAGTGAGCTTTTGAATGTGACCAGGTGTCAGCCCCTCATGGGGAGCAAGGAGAGAAGCACCACCCATTTCCAGCGCTGCCCTCCCAGGTCTGCAGCTGGCGGGGGAGCTGGGGAAAGCCTTACATGCTCCCTCATGGGATGAAACCACCCCGTCCTTCTTGCCTCCCGTGCCAGGAGGCAGACCAGAACTGAGTCCCTGAGCCGGAGTCAGGGAATCTTGAAGGAGAGTGGGCCTGAGACTTCCATCTGCCCAAGAGAGGACAGAAGAGCAGAGTTTGGAACATAGAGCCTGGCAGCCAGGAACGGGGAGGCCCAGGCAGAGGAGATGATGGCCTCTCAGCCAGAGAAGAGGCCTCAAGCTCCACTGAGCAAGGCACATAGGGCATAGGAGCTGGGGAGCAGCGGGGGCCACTCCGGGTGTGGGGAGCCTGGGAGGGAGGCGGTGCAGGGGAGGCCAGGCTGGGCTCAGGGCTGAGCGGTAATTAAAGGAGACGTAGGGGGCTCCCCAGGGCCAGCGGGGCTGGTAACTGACACGCGGGCCCCATTGCTCCGCTCATATTTCTCACCGGATCGATACGTTTGACTCCCGACAAGACAATAATCGCTTGTACGCGGCCGGCGAGTCGATCAAATACATTATTAGAGCGAGGCCCCCGGGGGCCTGGCAGGGAGTTGGGGGGGGGAGTAGCCAGCCCACCGGGGACAGCAGAGCAGGATTCTTTACCCCTCAGGGCCCCCAGCCATGGCCTCTTCCTCTCGGCCGCCCCTGGGGACCTTCTCCGTGGTTCGGTTCCCAAGCTTCTTTCTGGAGTCCTGCTGTCTCTGGCGACCTCTCTACTCAGCCCCCGCTGTGTCCCCGCTCTGCGTGGGGACCCAAGGGGTCTTTCCCCACAAGTGCTGCCTCGCCTGTAGGGCTGTAGCATGTGGGAGCTCAGAGAGGCCCCTCAGACCCCCAGCTTGGCAGGAGACAGGGAGACCAGGTTCAGGCCACGCTATGAGTCGACAGCTGGGCCAGGAGATGAACTCGGGCCTAAGATTCATTGACTCCAGCCTCCCTTTGCATCTCAGCACATCCGCCTCCAGCAGAGCCCAGGCCAGGCAGCCTCCGGGGGGTCAGGGAAAGCTGGTTTAGGGACCCGAACACACAGAAAAACAGGATGGGGTGGGGGAGACAGACACACAGACAAAGAGATATCTGATGTCTGGCTGGTTCTGCTGCAGGGCCATGCGATCCTCCAGTGGGCCTCCAATACTCTTGAATCAAACCCAGCCTGGCCCACCTGGGCACTGCTTGCCCACTTCTTCCTCACCTTCCTGGCTTCTGGGCTCCAGCCTTCATTTCCTGTTTACACACCTGCTTCATCCTCACCCCTGCCTTCGGAATTGCTTCTCCAGTGGCCCTAAGTCAAGGTCAAGCTGTAATCGTCCCATATTCTGCCTAGGAGCACCCAGCATCGAGGAACTTAAAGTATTTCTTCTTCTCTGTCATCATCATCATCATCAACAGCAGCATCACTGTCTATTCTGTGCTACTTGAACCAAGACATTATTTATAATCTTCATGACAATCCAAGGAGGGAAGGTCTGTTATCATCCCTATTTTTTGATGAATTGGAGCTCAGAAAGGTGAAGTCACTTGCCCCAAGTCACACAGCATGTGAGTAGTGGAGTCAGGATTCAAACCCAGACCTGTCCTCCTCACAGCTTGCTCTTTCTCTACTCTACCATAGGAGTCCAAGGAATGGAGCTTCGAAATGTTCCCCATCTTCTAGTGGATAGCAGGAAAAGCCACTTCCTGCCCACTCAGGAACACCAGAATCTCCTCCCAGCCCACAGCCCACCCCCACAGCCCTTAGAGTCTGTTCTTGATATTCAGCAAAGCGCTGGACTCCTTCTGACCCATCAGTTCCAGGCTGAAGGTGGTCAACCCTTCCCCATTTCCTTCAGTTCAAACATTTCCTGTGTGTCCATTAGTGCCAAGCCCTGGGCTGGGGGCTGAGGACCCAGAGACAAGGTGGATCTGAAACCTGCCTTCAAGGAGCTCACGGCCCAAGGGGGAGATGGAGTTGACGAAAATACCCTGATATTCCATCACTGATTCAGTAAGCATCCGATAAATGCTATTATGTGCCCGGCCATTGCTAAGCTCAGAGAACACAGTGGTTAAAAGCAAAATAGTCAATTATACCTCCATAAAGCTGAAATTTTTTTAAAAAGCAAAACAAACAAACAAACAAAGATGTTCTTTCTCCCTCCATAGAGTTCACAGTCTTTGGGGGGAAACAATTAAAAAAAAATCAAGGGGCCGGCGTGGTGGCATAGTGGTTAAGTTCACCCGCTGGCCTTCAATGGCCCCAGGTTCGTGGGTTCAGATCCTGGGCACAGACCTACACACCACTTGTCAAGCCATGCTGTGGTGGCATCCCATGTACAAAATAGAGGAAGATTGGCTCAGATGTTAGCTCAGGGCCAATCTTCCTCACCAAAAAAAAGAAAGAATAGGAAGAGGATGATACTTGATGTAAGATGGAGGGTGGCACGGTGCAGAAGACTTGTGAGGAGGTGGCACTTACACAGCAATTCGACCATTCACAAGCAACGAATGTGGGGAAGAGCACTGCAGACAGTGGGAACACAGGAGGTGGTGGCTCCGAGGCAGCAGGCACACAGCAATTCCCAGAGCAGAAAGGAGGCGCATATGGCTGGCACAGAGTGAACAAGGAGGATACGAGAGACGAGGTGGAGAGGCCCGGGCCAGACCACAGGGCCTCGCAGGCCAGGGTAAGCATTTTGGACTTTACTGCAAGTACAGTGGGACCCCACCGAGAAGGTACTAAGCAGGGGAGTGATGTGGTTCTGTGAACATTTTCCTGGATGATTCTGACTGCTGTGGGAGGCTAGTCTGAAGGGCCAGAGTGTGAGAGAGGTCAGCTGTGAGGAAATGGGTGGTGTCCACGTGAGAGATGAAGATGGCTGGCACCAGCAGGGTGGCAGTGGGGGAAGAGAGGAGCAGGTGTCCTTAGAAGCAATTTTGAGAGTAGACCCAACAGGATGGGTGACTGGCTCAAGATGGGGTGTGAGGGAGAGGGAGGAGTCAGGAATGAGGCCCCAGAACT